GCAGGAATTTTGGTTAAATAGATAATGAAAAATGTTGTCAACACACTCTTCCCAGGAGATAGATTTAATCATCTGTCCTGGTTATGTTTTGTTTTGTTTTGAAAGTCCTGTTGGAGGCCAAAGGGAAAAAACAGGTTATACTGTGGAGTATTTCCAGCCTTATGATTCATAAATCAAATCAAATCAGAAAAGTAAAGTCAATCAAGACTGGGGGAAACTATAATCATAAAATGACAATGGACAGCAAAACCAATATATTCTTGAGGACTTTTATAAGTACAAATAAACATTCAAAGATAAAACATCCTATTTGCACAGTTTAATATCATGCAAATAAAGCAACTTAGTGTTTAAAAAAATGTTCTAAGTGTCCAAATGTGTATTCAAGTTCTTATATGCACAATTTTCTAATAAATTTATAAAAGAATATAAACTATTTTGAGGTTGTGGAATTAGTGTGTGCTTGCTTTGGTCTCCCATCAGAACCACAAAAAGTATTTGATTCTTTCTTTAATAAATACCATAAAACATCTACACTTTGGTACTCAAAAATAAAAACAAAGAACATTTATTATCCTCCAGCACACTTGAACCAACTAATAACTGTATATCACCAACAATCAGGTTTCAAATAGACCTCTAGGGCTATGGTGCTGCAACATACAAACTTATCTGTATCTGTTAGGGTCTATGTTAATGACCAATTTCCTTATGTTTCCCTAAATTTAATTCTTGAAAGATCAGAAAACAACAGAAATGCCTTATTTAAACTATAATTTAATTTTATGTATTCAACAGCGCTAAAATAATCATGCAAGAAACACGTGAACATTTACTTCAAAAACGGATGATTCCCACAATAAAATTCCTCCTATAATAATAAAAAACCTTTTCTTAAACAATAAGTCATCACACTGAATACTTCCTCTTTTAAATAAGGCTGCCAAGAAGCTCATAATTAAATTAAATGATTATAAGAACTAATATTATGTTCTATAAGTTCATAGAACTATAAGCTTACAGAGCTATAACTCATATAGAACTATATAAGCTTATAAGAACTAATATTCTAGTTGTAGCTCTTATTCTCTAATTTTTTTCTGATTTGACTTATTTTCACATCTAATGTGTCAGTTCTATTTTTTTCTCCTGTGTCTTTCAACATCAGTATCTCTGCCTAAAATAAAGTTTTCCTCAAAGCAGTAATTCCAGTAATTCCACTTGAGCTGCCCTAAAATTATTATGAAATTTAAGTATGACTCAATTTGAAGTATATCTCTGTTTGTACAGGCAAAACTATATTCCTCAGGACATCTGCAACTGTACTGAAACAGGATTCAGTAAAAAATAACAAATTGCTGTATCACAACAATATGTGACTACTAGAAAAAATAATTTTTAAAAGAAAATTAGCAAGTAGAAAGGAGGTTCTCCATCTAAGATTTTTAATTGCTTAAGGTAAATTGTTTAAGTACCCATCCGGTACTTATTTTAAGTTGATATATTAATGACAAACAAATTTTTTCTTCCAGTTTTACTGAGGTATAATTAATACACAGCACTGTACAAGTTTAAGGTGTACAGTATAATGATTTGATATATATCATGAAGTGATCATAACAGTAAGTTTAGTGAACACCCATCATCTCATATAGATACAGAATTAAAGAAATAGAAAAAAATTATTTTTCTTGTGATAACTAATGATTTACTCTCAACTTTCATATAAAACATACAGCACTGTTAATTTTATTAATCATGTTGTACAGTACCTCCCTAGTACTTATTTATAACTGGAAGTGTGTACCTTTTGACTGCCTTCAACCGATTACCCGGACCCCAACTCCAACCCCCCCAATCTCTGGTAGCCACAAGTCAGATATCTTTTTCTGAGTTTGTTTTTGAAGTATAATTGGCCTACAACACTATGTTAGTTCCTGTTACACAACATAGTGATTTGATATTTCTATACATTTGAAACTGATCACCACAATGAATCTAGCTAAGATTATGTCACCATACACAGATATTACATAGTTATGACCATATTCTCCACACTGTATATTTCAAACCCTTGACTCATTTACTTTGCAGCTGGAGTTTGTACCTCTTAACCTCCCTCACCTGTTTCTTTCCTTCCCTCCCAATCCCTTCCCTCTGGCAACCACCTGTTTGTTCTCTGTATCTAAAACTCTGTTTCTGCTTTGTTGTTTGTTTGTTTTTTAAGACTCCACATATAAGTGAAATCATACAGTATTTGTCTTTCTCTAATTTATTTCACTTAGCATAATACCTTCTAGGTCCATCTATATTGTTGCAAATTGCACAATTTCATTCTTTGTTATGGCTGAGTAATTTTCCATTATAAATATTTATAGATCACATCTTCTTTATCTATTTATCTACTGATGGGAACTTCAGTTGCTTCCATATCTTGGCTACTGTAAATAATGCTGCAATGAACATAAGGGTGCACATATCTCAAGTGTTTTTGTTTTCTTCAGGTAAATACCCAGGAGTGGAATTGCAGGATCATAGGGCAGTTCTATTTTTAATTTTTTGAGGAATCTCCATATTGTTTTCCTTAGTGGCTGCACCAATTTACATTGTCACCAACAGTGCACAAGGGTTCTCTTTCCTCTACATCCTCCCCAACACTTTTTATTTGTTTTCTTTTGATAATGGCTATTGTGTGTGAGGTGACATCTCATTGTGGTTTTGATGTCCATTTCCCTGATGATTAACGATGCTGAGTATCTCTCCTGTGCCTCTTGGCCATCTATAATGTTTTCCTTGGAAAAATGTCTATAGATCCTCTGGCCATTTTTCAGTTGGGCTGTTTGTGCTTTTTATGTTGAGCTGTATGAGTTCTTTTACATTTTGGATATTAACCACTTATCTGACAGAGCATTTGGAAATATCTTCTCCCACTCAGTAGGCGGCCTTTTCATTTTGTTGATAATTTCCTTCACTGTGCAAAAGCTTTCTAGTTTGACACAGTCCCATTTGTTTATGCTTTTGTTTCCCTTGCCTGAGGGAATATATCAAAAAATATTACTAAGACCAATGTCAAACAGCATACTATGTTTTCTTTTAGGAGTTTTATGGTTTCAGGTCTTACATTTAAGTCTTTAATTCATTTGGAATTTATTTTTGTACATGGTGTTAGAGAGTAGTCCAGTTTGACTCTTTTGCATATAGCTGTCCAGTTTTCCCAACACCATTTACTGAAGAGGCTGTATTTCCCTCATTGTATATTCTTGTCTCCTTTGTCATAGTTTAATTGCTCATGTACGTATGAGTTCATTGCTGAGCTCTCTGTTCTGTTCCACTGATCTATGTGTCTGTTTTTGTGCCAGTACCATACTGTTTTGATAGCTGTAGATTTGTAGTATGGTTTGAAATAGGGGGACATGATACGTACAGCTTTGTTCTTCTTTCTCAAGACTGTTTTGGCCATTCACGGTCTTTTCTATTTCCATACAAATTTTAAAATTATTTGTTCTAGTTCTGTGAAAAGTGCCACTTGTATTTTGATAGAGATTGCATTGAATCTGTACACTGCCTTGGGTGGTATGGTCATTTTAATAACATTAATTCTTTTAATTCATGAACACGTTCTCTCTTTCCATCTATTTGTATCATCTTCAATTTCTTTCATCAGTGTCTTACAGTTTTCCAAATACAGATCCTTTACCTCCTTAGTTAGGTTTACTCCTAGGTATTTTATTCTTTTTGATGCAATTGTAAATAGGATTATTTTCATAGTTCATTGTTAGTGTATAGAAATGCAACAGATTTCTGTAAAATAATTTTTTATCCTGTACCTTTACCAAATTCACTGATGAGCTCCAGTAGTTTTTCGGTGATGTCTTTAGAATTTTCTATTTATAGTATCATGTCACCTGCAAACAGTGACAGTTTTTACTTCTTCTTTTCCAATTTGGATTCATTTCTTTTTCTTCCCTGTATGCTGTGGCTAGAACTTCCAATACTATGGTGAATAAAAATGGCAAAAGTAGACATCCTTATCTTGTTCCTGATCTTAGAGGAAATGCTTTCAGCTTTTCACCATTATGTTGTTAGCTGCAGGCTTATCATATACAGCCTTTATTATGTTGAGGTATGTTCCCTCTAAATCCACTTTGCGGAGAGCTTTTTATCATA